TAAATTGTCCCTAGGTGTGACTGTGAGCGTGAATGGTTGTTCGTCTCTGTGTGCCCTGCAATTGGCTGGCAACCAATCCAGGGTGTCCCCAGCCTACAGCCCAAAGACGGCTGGGATAGGCTCCCCCCCCCACCCCCCCGTGACCCTTGTGAGGATAAAGCAGAACAGAAAATGGATGGATGGACATTTATCAGGCTGATTTCACTGAGGTCAGTTACGCCGGCCTTGCTCACGAGAAAAAGTCAACGTGGCAAACAGACAGGGGTGTTCAAAAATCTGCTGATGGCAGATGCCTGTTGCATTCTCTTCTCACTGACTCTGGTAAAAGATAAATGACAGCAGAGGTGTCGAACTCATTGTTGTCGTGGGCCACCTCATAGTAATGGTTTCCGTCGGAAGGTTTATGACTTTGAACAGAAGTAAATGAAGAATCGCATGATGTTGTACTGTATACTGCTGGTGTTGGGCGAAAAACTTCCTCCAGAGCCACTTTTCAAGAGACTCCACAAATGGCATGTTTGTTCAACCATAAACATTGCATCCTCAAAGACAACAACCATTTTCAGCACTTTAGATTGGTAAAGAATTTGCACAAATAACACCCACACATGTAGAATGACGAATAGGATAGATTTTTTAAAAACCTATTCACCAAACTGTGACTCATGAGGTGTCAATTCCAGCAGTATACACAATAAATTAATGAGAAACTTTAATAAGATTTTTAAATAAGAGGCCAGCATTTTGTTCAAATATGAAAACATTTATTTTACGATGGGAATTGGTGACCTAAAATTGCAATATCTCAAAATGTTTGAAAATGAAGCGGCACATATAGTGATGCGGCAGTCCACATTTGGCCCCCGGACCTTTAGTTTGACACCAGTCAATTACATTCTGTATGTATGAGGGACAAATGTCAACTCTGCTAATTGATGAATTAAACCATGCAAGTATGAAGAACAAATGTCGCACGGCAAGACCAGCCTCAAAGACACCAGCATTTGAACCTGCGTAAGAACAAAAGGAAATATCTATTCAAGCCTCACCTAGTGACGGTGTGACCTTTCCGATGGGCGTACAGCGGAAGTTGACCCTTTCATTTGCAGCTGCAAGGCAACATAGGCAACTGACTACTTCAGAGGAGACAAACTGGTTTGTTCTCTTTGCAAAGCCACATTACCTTTCATCAATGACACCACACAGCTCCTTGTTGCTTGACTGATTAAAAAAAAAAAATAAACATGTTTCCAGCTGTTATGTTTCCACGTACCAGCGCATTAGATTCCAGCGGTGGTGACCTTTTGTGTGCTCTTCTCATTTGAAAATGAATCAATTAACTGATGCCTTCCAGCTTGGCATCATATTAAAGAAATACCGCTTGGCAATACCCACTGAATAGAAACCACTTACTGTAATTGTGTGAAAACAAAAGAGAATAAATTAAATAATTCACCTTAACAAGGGCACCACCTTAATGGTGGCTGGACAAGTGATTTAAGCTCTCTGGCAACGACTGTGAGGCGACAGAAGAGAGACAGAACCAGGACTGTCAACCACACAAGGCCTGAGAGGGTTTCCAAGAGCAAACTTGAGTGTGTGTGGTGAGTACTATCGCCATCCTGAAGTGTTTTCAGGGAACACAACATTCACGTTGAACATGTTTGGATTTGCGCTTTGTACACTCAAGGGATAAATATTCATTTTGACTCAGGTTTCATTGTATCACACACTTCCAAACCAAACATATCACAAAAATGTTTTAAGTACGGGCAAAAGGTGCATACCTGCAAAATATGTGCTCTCAACATATTTCATTATACATTTCTCAGTGAAGTCGGAAAATATCCATCCTTAAGAACGTTTGAACATTCAAAAATTAACCATCTAAAATTATTTTTTTTAAATTCCAGCACAAAGGATATAAAAATAAACATGTATGAAAATTATCTTTCAAGGATGGCACGAAACGGGTGAAAAGCAAACCAGTATTCGGTGTAAGAATCCATGTCATGCATTTTTTTTTAAATATTACAAATATTCTTGTAATTTATTGATTGATTTAAATTAATCAGGGCGTCTCAATGGTCAACTGGTTAGCGTGTTGGCCTCCCAGCAGTGCAGCGGTGCAAGGTTCGATTCTGACTGCAACCTTCCTGTGTGGAGATTGCATGTTCTCCCCATGCCTGCGTGGGTTTTCTCCGGGTTTTCCGATTTCCTCCCGCATTGTAAAGACATGCGTGGCAGGTTAATGGAACACTCCAAATTGTCCGTAGGTGTTAGTGAGGGCGCGGATGGTTGTTTGTCTCTTGTGTGCCCTGCGATTGGCTGACGACCAGTTCAGGGTGTACCCTGCCGGATGACTAAAGACAGCTGGGATAGGCTCCAGCACCCCCCGCAACACCTGTGAGGATAAAGCGGATCAGAAAATGGATGGATGAAAGTTAATCAAGAGGCCGCTCAAAGACCCGCGGGCCACCAGTTGCCAATCCCTGGTCTAATATTTTGAATGAATGCGTGAGACATTATTTAGTGTTTCCTTCATGCAAACCATATTTGTACATTGGAACAATGCATATTTTTTTATTTGGATCAAAGGTGTAACATTTCCGTAATGCTGCATGAAGAAAAATGCTTTCATTACTTTTGGAATGATGGGCAATGATTGCTACAACGCAGAATTTCAACATTTAAAAGCATTTAAAAATAAAAGAACTAAAGACACTTAAAACAAAGCCCAGAGACAAAAGACAGAGTACTAAAATTACTTAGATAGTGGAAGAAACATATTTTTTACAGCTGTATGTAATTATTATAAAAAAATAAAACTTGATAAAGATCCCTTTATAAGAGCATAGTTTTTAACTTGGACTTGAAAACAGTCACACTTGGGGCTGACGTCATCCTCCCAACAAATAACAAAGTCTTTTGATGAATTTTGTTTTTCCGGTTTATATGGCGAACACTGAAACATGTTTTGGACCCAAGTGATCCATCAATGACATTCTTAATGTCTTTGAGTCGGTGCAAGAAAAAAAAAAAATCTCTCCTCGTGACAAAGCTTGCTGGGGTGATATGCTCCACTTTGTCAGCCTCATTATCCTGACACTTGCACAAAAAAGCAACGTTGCAATTCATCTTTGGCAAGCCGGAGGGAAGCACAGTAGAGTTCAGACCTTGGGGGGGAAAAACTAAAAGTCTCTCCGCACTTGCGGATGCATGAAATGCACAAGAGTAGGCCAAAGTTATCATGCTGTTGAGACTATGGATGGTGCTTCAAAAACAAAACTTAGATTCCCCTTGAATTTTTTTACAGCAAAAATAGAATTTAAAAAGTCACATATCAAAGGAATGTTACAAGCGATATTACTAGAAACATATTGTTGTTTTGTGACAATTGCTTCGTGTCACACACACACACACACACACACACACACACACACACACACACACACACACTTTCTTGAGGAGTTTGGTCACTGTTTCTAAGTTCAGAAAAGTTGTTTTAGAATGGAGACACTGTTCAGATGTTCGAGTCAGTGAAGCAAAATTATTATCATTGAAGTCTGTTCTTTTTGACATATTTGTTTTTACAAAAAGCTATTTTTCTCCAAATTTTGTGAGAAGTGGATGAATTTTGGAAAATTTTGCTGTGTTCTCCTGCTGATTACTTAAGAACAAAAAAACGCTAGAAGGTGGAATCAACCTTTTATTGTCCACTGGTTAACCCAAAACATTCTTGAAAAAAATTGGTGATATACTGCCAATAAGTATTTTCCACTTCAAAGAGGGGATGGTCCCACGAAAAAAGTCTCTGAAATTTGAAACAAATAATCTCCAAATAAGTGAGGGGACGCGAAAAAAATGCTGGATTCCACTGTGTTCGACAGCAGGGGTCCCCAACCTTTTTGGCCCCACGGACCGGTTTAAGTCTGACAATATTTTCAGGGACCGGCATTTAAGGTGTGGCGGATTAATACAACAAAATAATATGGGATGAGCTGCATGAAAACTGTGGTGTTTTCGAAATATAATAATAAACACAAGGAGCGTCTAATCTTGTCGCAACACTCTTATCGCTCTGGTAATGTTTAATGCCTTCAAAATACGATACAATGCAAATTCAAAGTGCATGAAAATGACGACTCACCACAGCCCCGAGCTTGATTTTCTGCAATCAGACAGTCCCATCTCGGGGCAATAGGAGACAATGACACCTCAAGTGTGTGGTTTATGTCCAGTCTACTTCGCTGTGTTCTCCTGCTGATTACGACAGAAAAACACCCGCAAGAAAGGTAGAATCAACCTTTTATTGTCCACTGGTTAACCCAAAACAATCTTGAAAAAGTTGTGATGTACTGCCATTCAGTATTTTCCACAACAAATGGGGGATGGTCCCACTCCCACAAAAAAAGTCTCTGAAATTTGAAACAAATAATCTCCAAATAAGTGAGGGGACGCAAAAATGCTAGACGTCCACTGTGTTCTACAGTGCAAACCCTTGGCAACAAATAGATTGTGAAGACAAAGGCTTTTGCACGGCAAGGCTCTGTGTGACCGTGGAATTTGAAGTGCATGTTTGTTGCTGGCACCATGTTCGTCAATGACCAGAAAAAAAAAATATTTCCCGAAAAGTAGTGGTGTAAGTAAGTATGAGAATTCCGTCCAATGTCTACATTAAGATGAGAAGGGAGTTATGACTCTTCTTCCCAGTCGCAGTCGAGGTGTCTCGTGGCATGGCATGGGACCTGGGGCTCACCAAACTGAGTGTGTCCAAGCAGCCAGTTCTCCTTTCATGTTCACCCGATGGACCTTCTCTCGATTTACGTTTACCGTCCCTTTTCACTGTCTTTTTAGGACATCATCAGCCACAATGAGCATTCTCAAAGTGTTCACTGTTGCCCTTGTGCTATTTGGTAAGTCATCAATCTCTCAACAATCAAGTCAGAGAGTAAGTGAAAAGTCGCCATGTCACTAAGGTGTCAACTCTTTTTTCACAGGAACCAGCAGTCTTTCTGCTAAAATAAAGAGACAACTGCCATCAAATTCAGGTTTTAGGCCATTTAGAAGAGGACCACCTGGGCCACCAGGGCCACCTGGTCCACCAGGACCAACCGGACAATTTGGCCCACCAGGGCCAGATGGACCACCAGGACCACCTGGACCAGGTGGTCCACCAGGGCCAGATGGCCACCCAGGACCACCTGGACCAGATGGTCCACCAGGGCCAAATGGGCCACCTGGTCCACCTGGACTTGATGGGCACCCAGGACCACCTGGACCCGATGGACCACCAGGACCACCTGGACCAGGTGGGCCACCAGGACAAAATGGACCACCTGGACCACCAGGTCCATATGGACCACCTGGACCACCAGGACCACCTAGTGCACCAGGACCACCTGGACCACCAGGTCCTCCTGGGCCACCAATAAATTATCCATATTGGCCTCCCTTTAACCATGGGCAACGACCACCTTGGCCACCACGACCTTGGCCACCTGGTCCATATCCATCTTGGCCACCTGGTCCACCACCATATTAGCCACATGGGCCAATGCCACCACCACCTGATCCAAATTTTCTTTCGTATCAGAATTCATAAATATCAGCCATCAGTGCAGCCACCAGTGCAGCCACCTTTTTTCCTTGATAAAAACAATTCACCTGGACACCAAATTCTCAATGGGGTAGATGACTTGTCCCCACTGCACCACCACCAGAATAATCCTTGCCATCACCAAATACTCCAGATAAAAACAACCCACCTGGACAAGCACACTGCCAACCTGGACCATCTTTTCCTCCGGATGAAAATAAATCAATCTGGAACACGACCTTTTCAAATCTGAACCACCATCTAGGTCGCCACCAAGACCTGCCTCGCCAACCGCAGTTACTCCGGATGATCATGACCCACCTGGACCAACACCTTGCTCACACAGAAAACCTGTTACTGGTCAGAAACACACCCACCTGGACCAGCAGTGGGACCAACATCCGGTCCACACCCTGGGCTCGCTGGACATGTCACCCCGGGCCAAAGAGAGTTGTTTTTATTCCGAAAGAAAAGAAAAGCATTCAGTCCTAATAGTAAGAATCATTGTGTGGCCGTTGATGAGTAATTGCAAGATTCCAACCCTTGCCACCTACGTTCAATTTAAATAATAAAGATATTTTTTCTTCTGCACAATTTAGTTGCTTGAATGTGACCTCAGTTCAGACATCCGGCTGTTTGTGTTCATAGACGCGATCATGCTTGCTGGGTTTGACATCAAATTGCCACCGCCTGCTGCCTTATCAACAATCATCAGCCAAACGTACATCTTCCACTTACCAAACTCAACTCAACTTTATTTAGCGAGCACTTTAAAACAGCCATTTTTGCATACAAAGCGCTCTACATGCAAAACTAGTCATACAATAGCAAAGACAATGAAAAAAACAATATAAATACAGCAGACAGCATAAAACGCGAAGACAATGCCGAGTCTCATGCTGAGTTGAAAGCCAGACAGTAAAAATGTGTTTTAAGACATGTGGAACTGGCGATCCCTTCTGAGCTACTCGGTTCCTCTGGTGTGTGTGTGTGTGTGTGTGTGTGTGTGTGTGTGTGTGTGTGTGCACGTGCGTTTGTGTATACACACACACACAATGGTGATTGTTTTTTCTTCTCCTTAAATGTCCGACTTTCCATAAATTTTACCTGAAAGCGAAATATCACTGTGTATGTATACACACACACACACGCACACACATGCACACGCACACGCACACGCACTCACCCAAAATGTTGGGGATATTTCACTTTCATGTGAAATTTATGGAAAACAAAAAGTTCCTGCTACAGTCTCATATCATGAAAGTCGGACATTTAAGTAGACGGATGCACTGGTGATTTCATCTCAAACACTTCACTGAATCAAAAGTTAACGACAATGGTGGGGACACCACAACAAAAAATTTCAACGTCTCAATAATTCGTCATAGGCCCTTGAGCATTAATTACAGCTTGACGATGACGTGTCATGCTGTTCACAAGACAACTTATTGTCTGGTGAGGCTTGGCATCCCACTCTTCTTGAAGGGTCGTTGAGATTCTGGGTTGCAGAGTTTTGAGCCTCTGCACGGTGACTAAGCTGATCCCGGTGGTTTGCAATATGATTCAAGTCTGGAGAAAGTGCAGGCCATTCCATTTGAGGTACACCAGTTTCCAACAGCCGTTCCCTGATGATGTGACCTCGATGTCGTCCATGAAGATTAAATTAGCGTCTTGTTCACGTAGGGCAGTGGTTCTCAAATAGTGGGGCGCCCCCCCCCCCCCCCCCCCAGTGGTCCAGGAGTCTCCGTCAGGGGGGGCGCGTTTGGCCTCCGGGAACATGCTTTTTTATTTTGATTTTTTTTATTTTTTTTACTGTCCTAGAATAACGTGCAATTGCACCTCGACTACATTAGGGGACAGTGCCGCTCACCTTGGCACAGTGGGCAGGGATCATTCGGTCGGTGTTTTGCTCGCACTGAGCATGCACGCTTTGTACACCGCACGGAGTATGAGTAGGAAGTGTTGACACGAAGTCGACAGAGAGAGAGAGAGAGAGAGAGAGAGAGAGAGAGAGAGGAGAGAGAGAGAGAGCGAGAGAGAGAGAAAAGAGGTCTTCCGAAAGTGAAGACGAGTAAAATATGACGAAGCGTATGAAGCGCTTGGCTTCACTGTGACTACGGTGGGAGGAAAGACAGTGGACAGCATGAAGCCAAATGAATTAAGGCGTCACTGAAAGACATTACACCCCAATTCCGTTGATAAAAGAGTTTTTATTTCAGCGAAAACGTGCCGAATATTGCCAACAATCATCCCGTTTTGTGACTGCTACTTGTATTAATCCAGACATAACCTTTGATAAAAAAAAAATTAATTAAAAAAAAATCGGCACAAATTATTTTAGATATTTTTGTTTTGCAGGTTAAAGGTTTTTTAAGATTGTGCTCCTGAGTTCATGTTTCTGATCAGTTTTAATGCATTGTTATTCATTGATTTTATCTACTGGTAATTTTATTTTTCAGTATCGTATGGTTTGACATGGTCCGTCAAAAAATATTCATCGTTAATTTAAGGATTTAATTTTACTTTTGAATTCCAGATGCACTTTTAACTCTTTCCTGTTTCAGTTAATAAAGCTATTCATTGTTGTAAGTTGGTCCAGATTTCTTTTTTTATTCTCTTTTACGTTAATAAGGATACAGTGTTATGCAGAGGTGTACTTATAACAATTTTATAGACAAATGATACTACAGGTAATTATAGTCACGAGAGGGGGGGGCGTGAGATGCTTTCTTCTTCTTTGGGGGGGGAATGACAGAAAATAATTGAGAACCACTGATGTAGGTGCACAATCACGGGATGAATAATGTTATTCAGGTAGTATGGGATTATGACTGTACGATTCAAAAAGTGCAAGGCAGTTCTGTATCGAGTGGACACACCTGCCCACACTGTAACACTGCCACCACCAAAAGCTCGTCCACTCCTTCATATCCTGTCCAGGCATCAGGATGAGTTTTATAAATTAAGGACAATGTTTAATTCTTTAAACGGAACCAAATAACACGTTTTATTTGACTGATGCTTTGTGACAAACAAGAGGCGCAGTGCTCTAAAAATAATAAATATTTTAATAAATATGAGTGGCAGACTGCACCGTGACTGGCAGGTGGGACGTAGAGACTGGCGGGGGAAGACCCGGAAGTGAAAGTAGTGGTACTTGGGAAAAGTGTGTGGAGCAGGTGCGCTCAGTCACAAGCGTGAGTGCCATCGAGAAGTGTTTGTTGCTAAAATGGGATGGAATGAAGCCCCAGTTAAATAAGGAAAGACATCCCTTTAATTCGTCTGTGTCTCACCACTGTGGTTGATGTCACTGGACCGAGAGGTGCGTTACGATTACGATTCGGGGGAGAGGACAGTGACGTAAACAGTTACAGTCTGCAAAGCCTCCACGTATATATCTCAGTGTCTAATAAAAGATGAGCTCATGTGGACACAAAACATGCTGTATGAGGACAGGATCTCCAAAGTTGACTGAGTTCCTTAATTGTTCCTTTCGGAACACAGGTTGGGGAAGAGAACAATCATAAGGAAGAAATAAAAAGATTGAAGTGACTTTTTTTCTTTGTTAAATTAATGGCCTTGTGAGTCAGATACAGCCACATTGCGCCTCACCATCCAATAGGAAAACAGGGGTGGCGGTCCCTGAAGTTTCGCAGAAGCAGAGAACGGCAGACCGTGCACAGGTTTTGTTGGTCCTTTTTATCAGAAGTTCATCCATCTTGTTTAGCAGAGATTGTAGATAAGTCAAATGCATCGATGGGAGCGGGGTTCGAAATCCACGCTAACGTAGCAAAGGATATGAAATTGCCTGGGTCAATCTCTGTATTTAGGTCACTAGTGTTTCGTTCATAGGTGTCACAAGTTCGTAGTTCCACAACTTTCCTCCCTTGAAATTCCACATTCCTTTGCTTTAAAGCCTGCTGAAGCACTTGTTTGACATTAAAATCCAAAAAAAAAGAACTATTATAGATCTCAGTGGCACGGTGAGCTCTTTTAATCCGAATATCAAACTCTTCAGGCAACAGAATAGACGTATTGAAAAAGTCAGTAATGAACGATATGATCTCTTTTCCTTTTCAGCTCTGTTCAATTCCGTACAGTCTTATGTTCGTTCTGCGTATTCTATTTTCCAACTCGTCTTGTTTAGCTGGTACGATAGCTTCCTTTCTCAGCTGGGTAAACTTGCCGTCTTTCATGTTGCACTCCCTTGTCTTCTGCGAAACTCACTCTGTTTTCCGTTGTGGCCAGTCTCTCCTCCAGTATGTCAATTCTCCTCCTAATTTCTCTGACTCAAGCCCCCATGCGCACTTGAGACTCTATAATGTCTCTTTGTGCACTTCTAGATTTTTCTCGAAACTTATGCAGCTCCACTCGCATTAGCATTTCACTCCCGTCATTTGACTGAGCCAAGCAAGCGTCCAGCATAAGCTGCTTTTGACTTGTCTTTGCATTATCGCTTTTCCCCAATGTAGTTGCCGGTGAAGAAACCAACCCGTCGGAGGTATTCAAGGGAGTGACTCAGGAAACAGCATGAATAAAAGGAGGAAGCCCTTCGCCTCACGCGGCTGTGGTCTTAAATCAATCATATTGTGTTTCACTTTGATCACCATAATCGCTGTAATACACATATTGTGGTGGGAAGTCTACACAAGTATTGGCGAGTTGTGTTTCAATGCAACAATTACGAACAAACAAGTTGTTAAAACTGAAAGAGAGAATCAACATAGAAATAGAAGCATGCCGTCGACATTATCACCAACTCCATGGATTATTAAATGGGCATAAAACAATTGCATCAGAGTAACTATAGACTCCAAAACAACAACAGAAGTAATGATTCCGATCGCTAAATTGAAAGGATTGGGTTGTTTGCCTCGGATCATGACCTCTATTAAGAGTTGTTGCACCTCCATCTGAAAAATGACAGCAGAATGCATGGTTAGCTTTACCTGAAATACCACAGTGAACAAAAATTGCACAAAAAATGGG